TGGGCCCATCGGCGTCTGCGCGATCGTCAACCCTCCGTACGAGGGGATCGCCGCCATCGACAAAGCGCTCGGAGTCGGCGCCGGAACCATCATGTGCGTCGGCGTCGGCACGGACGGCACCGGTCGAGACATGACCGCCGTAGTCTGCACAGGCACGCTCTGCATCGGAGCCGCGTTCGGCGTCGGCACTCCCGTGGCCGCCACCGTTCCAGCCGCTCCCCCAAGATATTGCTGCAGTGCCTGCCGCAGTAGCGAGCCGAGGTACGCCTCCGCCGAGGGGTTCACGTTCCCCGGAGCGGGCGCGCTCTGAGTCGGCAGGGTCGCCACCGTCGGCTGCGCAGACACCACCGGCTGGCTCACTGGCCACGCCGTGCTCGCAGCTTGATACGCTTGGGCAGCCGCACTTGACGTATGTGGCACCTGTCCCGTGCCTCCCGCCGTCGGCGGAGGTAGACTCGTTCCTCCTCCCTGTTGAACCGTAGGACCCTGGGATGCCGGTGGGGGCGTGCTCAAAGCCCGCGTCAATACCCGCGCCAGCAATTCCACGTTCGGATTCCCGCTCGACCCGCGAGTACCACTTCGACGGCAGGTACCGGGCCGGTACCGTCGGGTGGGACTCACGGGTCGAGCGGGAATCCGAACGTGGAATTGCTGGCGCGGGTATTGACGCGGGCTTTGAGCACGCCCCCACCGGCATCCCAGGGTCCTACGGTTCAACAGGGAGGAGGAACGAGTCTACCTCCGCCGACGGCGGGAGGCACGGGACAGGTGCCACATACGTCAAGTGCGGCTGCCCAAGCGTATCAAGCTGCGAGCACGGCGTGGCCAGTGAGCCAGCCGGTGGTGTCTGCGCAGCCGACGGTGGCGACCCTGCCGACTCAGAGCGCGCCCGCTCCGGGGAACGTGAACCCCTCGGCGGAGGCGTACCTCGGCTCGCTACTGCGGCAGGCACTGCAGCAATATCTTGGGGGAGCGGCTGGAACGGTGGCGGCCACGGGAGTGCCGACGCCGAACGCGGCTCCGATGCAGAGCGTGCCTGTGCAGACTACGGCGGTCATGTCTCGACCGGTGCCGTCCGTGCCGACGCCGACGCACATGATGGTTCCGGCGCCGACTCCGAGCGCTTTGTCGATGGCGGCGATCCCCTCGTACGGAGGGTTGACGATCGCGCAGACGCCGATGGGCCCACCGCCAACCACCGCAGGAGCTCCTTGCACCAGCTCCCGGAGGGAGGCGTCCAGCGCACGCCGCCCACGCGACGTCTCCAGCAGGCTCGCACGCCCCTGGGCCTCGGCGCCCATCCTCAGGTCCGGTCGCTCGGGCGCCTCGCCCACGAGCACCGTAGCAGCCTCTGCACCTGGAGCCTCGTCGTCTTGCCCGACGGCTTGCTCCTCCGCGATCGGGCCCAGCACGTTGCCAGCCGCCACTTCCTCAGTGCTGGTCTCGCTCTCGCTGCTGCCGGACACGTCCGTGGCGCCCTCGAAGTCGAAGTTCGACTTGCTCCCGTCGGTCACGCCACCACCCTGCCCGTCGCCGGGCGTCCTTGGAGAACTCATCCAGTTCCCCACCGCCTTCTTCCTTCAGCACGCCTTGATCCAGGCGCCTCTCTTGTCAGTGAGAAGTACCCTGCTTCTCCACCAACTTGTCGCGGTCCTCCTCCGTTAGGGTCGAGTACTTCGGCCAACAAAGAGTAGACGCGTAGCTTGCTGGTAAGACGCTAGAAGAAAGGAAGGCAATCTCGTAAAAATGCAAAGGGTTTCTTGCTTTCAACGAGGAGAATTCACGACTGAATCCTTCACCACATCATGCGCGGCCGACGGCTACCCCGCCGACCCGCTTCCTTTCCTACTGCAACCACTTGGTGACGCCACACCTCCCGTGCACGAGCTTCCTGGCGTCCATGACACCCGTCCTTGGCGGCTGGCGACCGAACGTTCCACGCCCAGCCCGCCATCTCGCGTCATTTTTGCCTTGAAGAGTGGGATAACCACTCACACTTGATATGCTTGCCCGTGCTGCCCTTGCTCCTCTTGAATTCGCGCCTCTTCGTGCTCCAGCGCGCCTTCGAGCATCGTCAGGAAAGCTGTCAGTCGAGGTCTCAGACGTGATCCGTGACACTAACTACAAATGAGATAATGCTGATCATGAATTTGTAGCGGACAGCGGCGACCCAAGCAACGCACAGAGTGCAAACGCAAACAATACATAGGTTACTAGGAGACAGAGGTGAGCTTGGGGCTTAAGATACCTATTTGCTTCAGGGAACCAGACAAGAAGCTCGTAGTTCGAGGTTGGAGTCACATCATGATTTTCGTTTTTTAGGGGAGGCAGTAATACTGCCGCAGTATTCGTAAAAAATATAAATAAATATAAAACTTAAAAGTTTAATAACTATCCTTTGTTCGAAATTCACGCCCACTTAAGCTAAGCCAAGCGGCTTAGTTCGTCTGGTTTGTACACGTCACCAGCCGATACACAAGAATCATTTCATTAATTGATGACATTCTAGGCACTACATAATATATATTAGTATATTCACAACCCGCGCGTGACAAAACGTTTTTTTTACTGTGTTGTTTGGGGGTATTAGTGACTCCAACCTTTTACCAGCCTGCGTACAGACCACTCAGCATAATGTTGCCAGCCTTACCGGCAAAACTATTCTCGACAGCTCTGACGTTCTTCAGTTAAGCTTTCCTAGCTCGCTAATCCAGTCGTGGTGCTTGCCCTTGTAGTACTCGGAGTAGCGATGCCACATGTAGTACTGACCGTAGGTCTGCTAATCATCATCAGACACCTTTCTCAGCACCTTGTGGTCAAACTTCTTAATCGCAGCTACTTCGGGGTTGAGCTTCAGCATCGTGAACAGATCGTCCGGGGTTTTCAACGCGCTTTCCAGAGCCGTGTACTTTTCGATGAGCGAACGTTGAAGAGCCTCCAGAGTCAGAGACTTTGTCTCGGCGAGTTGCTTGATCGATTTGGATCTTGTGAACCACTTCAGCACCTTCGGTGACGTCTCAGCCTTAATGACGACTTGTTCGGACAAACTCGACAACCACGTAGCCATGTCATCGTAGAAGTTGTTCCCTCGCTCTTCATCGGTCAAGTCCTTGTCAGTCTCGCTGGTTCTCAAGGATCGAACGCCTTTGTTCCCCGAAAAACGGTATATGGCACTAGCGATATCCGAAGAAGTCGCCTTGGAGACCGCTGAGTCCAACGTTCGTAGAGGCCGAAACGACATCGCAGCATGCGAGCAGGGCGGTGACAGCAAGTAGAAGAAAAAACCCACGCTGCATTGTGGCTCGTACTTCAGCACTTGGGAGCTTGGAAGAAAATTGCGAAGTGAATTCAAACTTGCAGTCACATGAAATAAGACGAAATCTTTGTCGTCACGGATGACTTCCGAATCTAGAAAAGGTAAAGCTGTAGCACGCTTCGTGACTTGACTGGGCGAGCATTTGTCTGATCGCATTTGGCTTGAGAGGAGTGGACATTTTGTGGGGGTACTGACTGTACTGTACGTGCGGAAAGTTCTTGCGTGACAAATCTGTTTAGTATGTCTAGGGAGATGTAAACATTTTAAAGTTTTGTCACGCAGTAGTGGCGACCGGATCGGATCACCGGCCCCGCTGCAAAGTGTATCCAAAACACCAGTTTCAGTTCTTCACTTTTTCTAAATGCAAGAACACCCCAGAATTGCTCCAAGCACTTGGTCCGACGTGTGAATTGTCCGAGTCGCGGTTTCCTCGACCCATGAAATATGTACTCTCGCAACGTACGGTCTCGTTATTTAAAGTGTTTAGTACGTTGAGGATGATACGAAACAGCAGATCCAAGGTCAAGATTCCCAACACGTTGCTTTTTTTCAGTTTTGCGAGTAGCACCTCACGCACTGTGTTGAGTATATTATTGTACATAACTTATCCTTCCGATTACTGTACCGGTACTACTTAGTAGTGGAGAATTTTCGTCGTGCTGCTCCGTTGAGTTGCTTAGGGGTGACCTCCTGAAGTTGAGTCTCCACGACGCCCCCGCTCTCCAAATGGCTCTGATGAAGCCTTCGACCAGTTGGATCTAAGCACCACGAGTATAAATATATCAAGAGTGTGAATTGCTGATGACACCCCCGACTTTCGTATTCGCCTACTACTACAGGTAGCCCCCCCCCATGTGCTCGTAGCCTTCCCCTCACTTGCATTATGGTCAGTGCCTTCATTTCATCGTCCCCGCCGGACGGCAGGATCGGGCTTTTATCGGGTTCGTGATTTTAACCAGAAAATATGAAACTAACTTTGACAGCAAGTATTGCAGGTTCGCTAAACAAGAAGAGGGAGAACAGAAAACAATGTTGAAAAAACATCGACACCCCGATCGGCATGTGCTGGGACATGGCACACGCCATAGATGATTTCCAACCTTTTCTTCTTCATTTCCGTTTTCGTCACTCAAGTCGAGGTGGGAGACGCTATGGACAGGCTGCCGCTGCAGTCAAGCTCGACCCTTTTCGAGACAGTGAGTATGCTGACAAGAACGAAGACATGACCATTTTTGTGGCGGACGATATCCTCGTGGAGACGTGGAATCAATTTGCAGAATTAGACGAAGAATTGCCTCGAGATCTTCGTCTTCAGCAGCTCGTCTGGTTTGACAACAGCGTGTGGATTGTGGAGTATCCTCTCTCAATTCCCCACGAAGTAGCGAACTCCTGCATCTCGCAGAAATTCATCCTTCTGGAAGGAGGCATCACCTTTGGGCACGTAGCTCAAACGGGTCCTGGACCCAACGAGCAACAAGTCACGTACGCACCAGATTATTCTTTCGGACCCTTTCCTACGCTGCCAGGGATCCAAGTACCTGAAGGGGTTCGCCACGGGTGGGTGACGCTGATTGTCGAAGTCATGTACATGCAGCAATGGCAAACGGTGTACCCGAAGGTGGCCATGTACCGGCAACTCCCTGGGATTCAGTATATCTTCTGCCTGAAGCTGTCGGCTCGACTGAATCTCTGTTCGTACGAGCTCTACGAAGTGGGAAACAACGATTCTACCTTTCCCAACCCCGCGATTCGTGTCTCGTTCGACATTAGAACCGTCCAGCCCAACCACCCGTTCGTCGTCCAGTTCGACTCGCGACGCGTTTTGGCACTGCCTGCAGACGGAGAGCTGCCCCCGGGCTGGCAAGACAAAATTACGCTTGATGTCGTTGCGTTAGCCCATCGTGTGCGGGAGGCAGACAGCAGCTTTGTACGTTGATTGCTGCAGTCCAGAGCTTCAATCGCAGCTATCGCAATTTGATCTAGGATTTCACTCAATTATCTTCGGTATGCACTTGCTGCCGAAAAAAGCAAGTACTATACTCGACGACTTGAGATGTATTTTTATCAAGCAGAAGTAGTTGGAACCTCGTTCTGTGCGGATTTCTCTCATTAGGAGGAAACATTTAGAACTCAACAGAGGCTTCATGGCCTTCCTGGCTACTGAGGATCGCTTTGGTCCTGAGTTGGACAGATACAGGCAGGGTGAACCGGTAAGGCTCCAACTCGTCTATTACGGAGGACACAAGTTAACTCTAACGCTGTTTGACCGGTTCAGAATCCATACACTTACACGCCTGAAGATGACCGAGTCTCGCTGCCTGGTGGGGAGAATGTAAGCGGAACCTTTGGTTACCATCGGTCCGAGCAACACGAAAAACCGTCCCATTTCGTGATTGCGGCCTCCTCTTCGCCAGCGATAGCCGCCACTCTGAAAGCTTTAGAAGATAATTCACTGCAGCGCATGCGTGATACTAGCGAGCCAACTCCTTGTACCTATGCACCGACAATAGAGGGCCAATTTCGTCGGGTCTACACGATGAAGGAGATCTTGGCCGAGCGCAAGCGCAACGCGATTCAGCGAAAACTGGTGAAAAATGAAGACGCGATGACAGCTCAAGAGCTGCATCTAGCGTTGGGTCCGGGCAGCTACGATGTGAACCACGACGTAAGACTAATCTGCTCTTTGTCATAACGCGTCGGTTAGTATATCTGACTGCTGTTTGTGCGTTGCAGACAAACCAAGAAATGATTGCTACTCCATTTACATTCACACACGAGAAGCGGCACGGAATCCTGGATAATGCAGCCGCGCTGGGGCGAGTGGGGTGTAGTCCAGGCCCAGCGCTTTATCGCGTCGAAAGCAGTACAGCCGTCCCCTCAGCTTCAACTGTTGCAAGTGTCCCGTTCCGATCAAAACATGCCAGTGCATTTGTCACGGTAAGGATCCTGTCGCCTTGTATAATAAGGGTTCTATCTCACGAAATCATCTTTGCGGTGCAGCGCGTGCGCAGTGACAGTCAACTGCATCGGCAGCAGAAGAAAGATGCTGCGCTGTACTCGAAGGAACTAGCAAAATCCTACCAAGAGCTTGGTGCGAGCGTTCAGGTGGCGAATCCTTAGCTCTAAAGTGTACACGTCGTCACCAGCTAACTTCGAATGAATCGTGAATATGTGTTGTTTTATTCAGCGACTTGGGAACCGACTTGCATCTCCAGAGCTTCGTGACCAAACCTTTCGGCGGTTCGACAAGGATGTGAGCGCAGTTGAAGCTTATCGAAGAGGACCAGGCAGCTACGGCTCTTCGTGTGAGTGTAGTAGCCCTCATCGACGAAAATCAACCAGCAACGGTGACAGTGCCAAGAATGATGAGGGCGCTTGCACTCGACCCGACTGCTTCCAGCAATCCCCATTGCCGTCTATTAGACACAAACCAACCACCTCCTTCGGTCTCGTGGCCAGTCGAGACTTGCTGACGTCCATGATCGCAGCAGGCCACGCCAGTGCACACACCATCGGACCGGGTGTATACGATGCGCATCCATCGTCCTTCATTGTGCCCACCCACAACCTAGGGTACAAGCAAGAGATGAAGCGAGTGGAGCCCAAATCCAGGCCTCAAGGTGCGGGTAGAAGCCAAGCCAGATCTGCAGACAGTGGCGACACGCGGAGACTGAGTCGGAAGGAGATGTGGAACGTCATGAAGCAAGGGCCAACGCTGCCTTCGTAGCTAACGGTAGTCTACTGTAGTTGCGCAAATACGCCTTTTAGCTTTGCTGGCTGTGCTGCTGGTCTCTATCAGCCAGTTCGTCGAAGAATCACAGCCCAGTTCGACTCGTCATAGTAGCTTTCCTCCACCTCGGCGTTGCCTGCAAGTGCCACCAGACTCTCGAGCTCGCCTTGCTTGAACATGTGGCAATACCTTTGCATCACCACGCGCGCTTGCACCTTAGAGCTCGATCTATCACCAGCGTTAGCATCGTCCCCTTCCTCACTCGAGTCCTTCGGGGATTCTTCAGCTTGCTCATCTTCTTGACTAGTTTCTGCAGCGTCAGTCTCAGTCGAGGATTCTTCAGTGGAAAAGGCGAAACGCTTGTCCAGGTTCCACGGCACCATAAAGTCCTGTCGGCCCTCCTCAAAGCGCCGACGAGAGCCCTTCATTTGCTCATGCGCCCAAGCGTAAATGATTCCACGGCCTCCAACACGTAAAACACGAAGGAGCTCCTTCACTGCAGCCAGTTGGTGGCCGAGTGTACTGAGATGGTGGAGCACAGCGATCGACAGCGCTGCATCGCACGAGTTCGAGCGCAGCGGAACGGCCAGCGCGTCGCACACCATCGCCTCAAGGCCGCGATCGCGACAGATTTTAACGAGGCGCGAGCTGCGGTCCCCACCCACGACAAAACTCTGAGCCGCGTCCACACACTTCATGTACTTGCCGTTGCCGCATCCGAGATCAGCGATCATAGACCCGCTAGGCAGCGACGACACAAATTGAGCAACTCGCGGCCACGGACTGTGGCGGGTGCTGCTGAAGTGCGCCGCTACAGTCTCGTAGAACTCGTGCACATACTGCTGCTCCAACGCTGTAGGCGCCAAGCTCGTCGTCTCTTCAGCGACAGATCCCTGTTCATCATCCCCCGCAGCCTCCTGGCCATCCCGACCCGGGGTATCGCAGTACTTGGGGAACGGGCACTCACACAGCCCCGATCGGATCTTGCGGAACGTGATGCTCACTCTCCGTTGACGATTCACCTGCTTGCCATCGATTACGTCAAATGTACGCGGCACGATGGCGTGCTCCCACATGTAGCGACTGGCTCCGCTCATGACCGCCAGCGACCGCGCCGGCAGCAGCACGCCTTCGTTCCGCACCCCGTCCGGGTGTCGGAAGTCCATGACCACTTCACTGCAGATACTCAGCGACGCGATGGTGGTCGTGAACGCCGAGTGGGTGTCCAAGTGGAAGGCAATTCCTTGTCCGGGGAGGTACTCGTTCACCGTAATTTGGTCGGGTTCGTCGCCATCCATGATCCCGCACCGCGCGATCTTCTCAATAATGGGCTGCAGCACCTCCGGAATGGGTTCTTTCATGGGCTGATCGGGGTCGCACCGCCGTGTGTCGTAGTTGAACTCGTAGCCAAAGTGCTGCACCTGTCGCGCTCGGATGGTGTTGGCCCAGTGGGCTCCGTTCTCCCGCTCGAAGAACGCAACGCAGGCCGCCTCCTGCTCCTTGGTGATGAACTCGGCCTCAAATCTGAGTCCGGGGACTCTCAGCCCCGGGGGATCAGCGTTGCGTTGCAGGTTGTGCACCCTCAGCAGGCGGTCGCGCGCCTCCTGCTCCTTCCGGGGCATGGCGAATTCCGCGTACATGGGCCGACGTCCCAGCAGCTCGCAGGGCTTCTCGTGCAGCAACTCGCGCAGCTTCTGAGCTGCATCGACACTGGAAAGCTCCAGCAACACTACGCGACGAGATCCCGTGCCGTAGAGCACGCGCTCCACGATGGAAGTATCGTCTGAAGCGCTTGAGGGCGAATCGGTCTCCAGCAGCTGCAGCAGGAACGGGATGAGCTTGGGCTCCGCGATGGCCTTGTCCTTGATGCGACGGCTCATCGTGAGCTTCAGGAAGCTGCTGGGCTGCTCATCGACCACGAAGTCGGCCAGCTGGAGCTGCGCAGCGTCCTCCGAGGTGTCGGCCGTGTCTCCCATGTCTATGATGCTCGTCAAATGACCATTGAAAAGCGCGTACTTAAGCGCGTAAAGTTCGAGCACCACCGATATATTCATCGCCCTTCAGTGAGGATGTATACTGAATGTAGCCATATATACACACGTAATAGATCGATACATTTGACATGCAACATGACGGGTGCCGAACGTGCACGCTGGACTTGGGGTGCGCCTTACGGGTGTAGGAAGCGGCGAGGTCGCGTCGAGCGTCTGGTTTCTTCGGGTCGGTCAGTCGCAGGTTTGTCGTCGTTGTCTTGGCGCTGCCAGACGCACAACTTGCCGTAAAAGTCCGGGGACACGATGGTCGGGTCGAACGGGTGCCAGCGCACGTCGCGCGTGAGACCGTTGCGTCTCATCGCGAAGATTTCGACGAGGTCGCCGCTGATGCTGTCGTACACGTACACGCGGCCGTCGGCTGAGCCCGTGTAGATGTACTTTTGGGCCGTCGAGTGCAGCGGCGAGAAGTAGCAGCGGATGAGCGTCTCGACGACCATGTGCCCGCGGTACGTCATGACGGACCTGTCGTCCGGGTGCTCAATGGGCACCAGGTTGCGTCCCGGATACGCCTGGTAGCGGTAGTCCCACGAGTACGGCCGGCGGAAGGGCGCCAGCTTGTCGTGGTCGTCCGAGGAGAAGCACTTTCGGATATCCCAGAGCTTGGTGGTCTGATCCTTCGAGTTAGAGATGAAGTAGTAGCCGTCATCCCGCGACGAAATGTGCGTGATGCCGTCGGTGTGGCCTGGGAACACTCCCTGGGGCTTCGGGTTGGACTCGGACAGCACGCGGCGGTCCCACAACTTGATCAATGAGTCATCCGAGCCACTCACGAACACGTTCGTGTGCAGAGGGCCGTCCACGAATGCGATGGCGTTGACATCGTCGTGGTGGCCGACGACGTGGCACATGGGCACGCGGGTCTCCATGTCCATCAGCACGACGCTGCTCTGCGACGTTCCAGCAACGAACTCGGTGCCCGACGCATTGATATCAATGCACCACACCCCGAAGCGCCCGTACCGACTCATCCGCATGGCGTGGCTGTCCCCCCTCCCTCGTGTCGGACGTGCCAGGGGCAAGACACACTCCTTCCCATCCTCGTCGAAGTCCGTGCTCACCATTCTCACGTTGCTGTTGATGGTCGAGTACATGACGTTCTTGTCGTCGGGCGTGAACTTGGCGTCCGTCACCGTCCAACTGACGTCGCGCACGGGCAAGGACGCCGCGCGCGTCCAGTCAATGGTGTCGTAGAGCATGATCTCTCCACGCTGGCCCGCCGTGAGGAACCTCGAGCCGGTGCTGTTGAACCCGCCGCAGTACAGGCGGTCGCGCACCGTGTCCACGACGCGGCAGTGCTGGTTCTCCTGGAAGGGCATGAAGGTTTCCTGCAGCTTGATGAGCTGCGCTTTGGACGACGCGCCCACCTGCTCGCGATGACACAAGGTGCGGAACAGGAGCTGCTTACGACCGGGCGAGCCCACCGACGAGTCTTCATTATAGCCGCGCAGCTGGTGGGCGATGCGCTCGAGCGGCAGCAACTCGCGCTGCTTCTTCTCGAACTCGGAGCGGCGGAAGGCGCGCGGCGCGTACGCCTCGCCGTCGAACACCTTGTCTAGCTTGGCGCGCTCGTCCGGGGAGAGCACGGGCGAGCCATCGTCGTCCTCGAAGGTCAGCGAGGCGGACTCGCCGTCGTACTCGGGCGTCCAGTCGCTGTCCTCGCCGTCGTCGTCCTCCGAGTCCACCCAGCGCAGCAGCGACGACATCATTCTGCTTGTGCTCGAAGTGAGCTCCTCGCGGAAGATTTTCTTCTGTGTCTGTTGGCTTCTTGGACTGCATAATCAGAATGGACTGCATAATCTCGGTCTCTGATTGGTCGGTGGGAAATGGCTTCAGCAGGGTGAAATTCTAGCGATCGATCATGGCGAGCCCATGTTCCCAACATAGTAAATAGCGCTGTCTTTTGTGAGGTGTGCATGCGTGTCTTAACGACGCCAGGTGCATGACTGACTATAATCTAAAATCTACGTAGTAATACAATGTTGTGGCACTTTTTTGCAGATATCCCTCATGTCGGCGGTATATAGGCCTGCAAGTATCAAATTGCCTCATATTTACAATTGTGCCTTTCACTTATTCTGCCGTGATAATTCTGGCATAATTCTTATCGACCCTGAGGTAGCTCATTCCCATGTTAATTCCGGGTCGTCCTTCCGTGGTCGAATTATTGTGCCTTTCGGTCATTTTGCCGAGTCCTGCGTAGGACTTTGGAGGTCAGTTAATCTGAGGTTGGGGATCTCTAAATCTGAGATGCAAATCTCGGACGAGTCCGATGAGCGGTCTCCCGGAGGCTCTCCGTTCAATGGACGTCCAAGCCAAGCAAGCTTTGTTTGGGGAAGCAATCAGTGCTGGAACCCACGAAGGCGAAGGGAGAAGACTTGGTTGTTTAATGTAGCGACCGCATCGTGCTTACCTAGGTTTATTCTGCGTCTGACATACACCGTATTAGAGTCAGCTCGTATGAAAGTCCTGCCACAAGACTTGACAGGAGTCCTTGGTAAGACCTCAAACCCCGAATGCCGTGAGAATGGGCGACATTCGGGCTTTCGGCTGTTTGTAGGACCTACGCAAGTGCTTCCATCGGACTAGCAATTCTTGGTCCTAATTCCCTACGAGGGGCCTGCTAATCTGCTCCGATAACCTAGCCCCATCTTAGTAGGTAGCTGTTTTACACGTCCGATTTGCCAAAACAACTGAAAAGCACAATAGGAGCGGCGATGGTGAGGCCGAGTTAAGGCGGAATAAGCTAATCCAGCCTGCGTTAGGCGAAAACAGAGCGATTTCCTACCTGTCAGTCCATGGAGGTCGGTGTACTTCCACCAAAAAAGTAAGAGGCCCCACCAAAGATAATATCTGGTCCACCAAAAATACCTGTGCGTAGCACACGCGTTCTCAGTCCACCCGTAGAGAAGGGTAACGACACCCGAGTGCCTATTACATATCATCCGCAGCATGTGTGCTATCATCATAGAGCCTGAAGTCTATAGCAAGATTAGGCTGAGTGGTTCTCACAGGTGCGCCGGATGCGCACGGTGCGTACTCCCGTACTAAAATCGAGCATCTAAGCACGTACAGTCGCTCGAACTGTGTGATCACGCTAAGGACATTGTAGACCGCCATGACCACCACGGAGCTGGCGAACAGGTATCTCCATGCGAGCTTCATCATAGTTGCACGTACAAAAGTGTCGCACGCATGTATTTTTATCACTGGTATGATCAATCGATCAGTACTGGTCAGTTTAGACATGTAGAAGCAATATCTGTTGGATACATTTCCACGGTGAAACCCCCTGACATTGGCAGTAAGCGATCGCGTTCAGCTATCTAAATATCACTGGGACAAGCCGTCGTCCATCTTGGCCTTCTGCCGTACGTCCAGCGCGTGCGCATGTCCACCATGGCGAAGTTGGCGTACAACAGCGAGAGCCACGAGTTCCCGTGTCTCGCGCGTGACGATCATCTCCTTGCTCAGCACCTGCTCCCACTCCTCCCTGACGAACTGCTTGGTGCGCACGAACTCGGTGACGGCCGACACGGGGATCATCTGGATGCCGTGGATGCAGTACTTCTCAGCGCTGAACCACGTGGCGTTGTCCACCTTGTTGTCGAATAAGATGCCCGTTACCTTGTTGGGGCGGAAGTTGGTCGGGTGGGTCTGGTTGGCGTCCTCGATGAGGAAGTACGTCTTGATGGCGTGCGTGTTGACGCACGTCATGAGCTTTCCGACGGTCTCGAGCGCCGCGTTGTTGGTCGCCTTGCCGAACATGTACATGCCGAAGGCGAAGTTGACGTCCTCCGAGGTGCTCTCCTGGTCCTTGCCGTCGGCGAACGGGGTCACGCAGTGCGAGTACGAGTGGCCGCGGAACCAGTCGAAGGAGCGGAAGCGCGTGAAGACCTTGTCCTCCGGGTCGTAGTTGGCGACGTCGCGCACGAGCAGGTTGGCCATGGTGTTGAGCTTCGCCAGCTCGCTCCAGGTCGGGTCGAGGCGGTTGATGATGGCCGCCGCGTGGACGCAGTAGCCGTAGTGGAAGTGGTGGTCGTTGTACATGGTGTTGCCGAAGTCCGAGTTGAGGTCCTTGGTCTTGAACCCTGCGAGCTCACGATGCCGCCGTAGATCAGGTCGCACTGGAGCCAGTCACCCGTCGTCTTCCACTTGAACGCGTAGGAGCTGTCGTCGGTCAGGTCCACGGTTGCGGCCTGCACAACGCAGGACTTGTGCTGGTCAAGGGTGCTCATCCAGGAGTCGCCGCCAACAAGCGCCACACGCAGAACGCCATCGCACGGCGTCGTGCTCTTGAGTGCAGTGTTGCCCTCAGCAGTGAGAGCAATCTCCTGCTTACTGCAACCGTCGCTCGAGAGAACGTAGACCACCCACTTCAGGCCGGAGGCATTGTGAAGGATGTTTGAATGAGACTCTGCAGGCAATGAAAACTTAATGAATTGATTAATACAAGGCGATAGAAGCTAAGTTTAAAGAGATACCTACCATCTAGACCTAACGTCTTCTGCGCTTCTGGTATTGCTGTCGCGACTGGATCGCACGCTTAGTCGGCTTTCTGGTTCGCGATGAGCGCCGAGTAGGCGCGGCTTGGGTTCCAGACGCCACTGTTGCTGCCTGCTGCCGGGCCACTGTTGCTGCGTGCTGCCGGGGCACCGTTGCTGCGTGCTGCCGGGGCACCGTTGCTGCGTGCTGCCGGGGTTCCGTTCCCTGCGACGGTCGCACCGCCGCCGCTACATTCTCTTGGGGTTCCGAGTACTGGGACACCGTACGCTCCGCCGCGGTCGCTACATTCTCTTGGGGTTCCGAGTACTGGGACACCGTACGCTCCGCCGCGGTCGCTACATTCTCCATGGCCGCTACATTCTCTTGCGTCGCTGTCCGAGGCGTCGGACTTGAACCGCGCTGTGACTTGACGCGCTCGATCGGCAGCAGCAGCCGAATGTGACGCGACTGCGAGCCTTGGACGGCTGCGCTGTCCGAAGCGGTCGTGTCGGCCATCTCCACCGCAACGGAGGCTTCAAGTCGACGAATCAGGTCGTAGGTGTCGATGTGCCCGTACGGACGTGACGACACCGGCAAGACGTTCTTGAAATCCATTGCGCACGTGCTACGCCATCTACCAACCTCGACGCGCTTCCTGAAGCACCCGTTCTCAAACCGCGACATGCTCGTCGCGGTCCTGGATGGCCACGTCACGCTCGTCTTCCAGCTCGATTACGTGAGCGCTGGGACAGTGGACTTGGGCGTTCGCGGGCTCTCGCCGCTACCCCTACACGCGACGTATTTCCAGCCGCGCCGCGAGAGACGTGGCCTGAAACTCGCCGATTCCTCCAAGTCGCCGATACGCGTCGCGCCCCGCCGGAGTTCATCGGTGTGGGTCACAAGGAGCGCGTTATTGTGCCGAAGGTCTACTTAGAGCGGCCCGCTAAACGCTGCGCTGACTCGGCTTCCGCACGGCTCTGCGTGAGCGCATTACGGACAAGGGTGAGATGCTCAACAAGGGTAGCGCGTCGGCAGTGTTGCACTCCTCTTTGGAGAGTCGAAGCTTGACGCACTTGGTCTCTCACGACGCTTCCAGCGTCGCGCGCTTGCTCGACGCCGCCAGGGCTTGACGCGCGCGGTCGCGCTCGGCGAAAGCTACGCCGCGTTGCTGCTCCACAGCTACGAAGGATTGCTGCGCTTGATCACATTCCGCCACGGTAGCGCCGAGTCGCGATTGGACCAGGGAGAGGCAGCTTGGGCTTCCGCGAGCTGATCGGACGGGTCAGGGAGGCGAGACCGATGTGCTCTGCTTGCATAGACGACGATGCCAGCAGTCTCGAGGTTGCCCGTGTCGGGCCCGCCCTCCTCTACGTAGATGCCCTCAGCGCGAGCCATGATGCTCGAAAGGCGACGAAGCGGACGGCGACGACAAAAATGCAACGAATGGAGATGCGGCCACAGAGCGGGGCAGGTACTGCAACGACACACCCACCTGGGGAGTGCGCGTGCGTGGCACGGGGTTTAGGGTTGACGGGTTTGGGGGAAACGGGCGCGCTGGTCGGTCCGTCGGATGATTACGCGTCGCACTGGATTCTGGCACCGTGTCTCACGGACCATCACCCACGCCGACTTTCCGTCGAGCTCGGCCCTGCGTCGCGCCCATCAATCCGCATCGCGTTCATCAGCCGCGTCGAGGTCCATCACTCGCGTCCGCCGACATCCATCTCGGCGCCTTCTTCCTCCGGCGCCCGGCGTGCCCACTTCTTCGCGGGGTACTACACCACAACCGTCAACCCTAAACCCCGTCGAGAAAACCCGTCGAGAAAACCCGTCGAGGAACCCCGTCGAGCCCAAGTCGTGATTACGTTACGCGAATCAGGTTGAAGAGCGGCAGTGCAAGCACGACAGACGCACTGATAGGCGTAGGGTGGTAGGCTTAGCAAGCAGTAGTAGGGAGTTGCCAGTAGCAAGGACATAGGATAGGGTAAGGACTCAGTCCCGAAATTTCTCTGAGCCACTCAGACCTCTCCCCCTCCGGAAGATCGCCAGGTTCTTGAAAACCACCAAGCGTCGGCAAGCAGAGCCGCAAGGAACACGCGGCCCCCCGTCGCTCGCCGGCTCGGGCACTCACCCCCCCTCAAACCCCGTGCTGGAAACGAAGGCACGTAAAACGTATACCGGTTAGGAGGCGCTCGATAACGCGCAGCCTAGGCGAAGGACCGCACGGCCTGATAACCGCTGTGCACAAGACCCCGCGTCGGCGCGATAACGCCACGCAACAAGCCCCAGGAAACGCCGGCCCGATAACGCCGCACGCCCGACGGGATCTCCGAGGAAACGCCGGCCCGATAAGTCCGCACGCCCAAGGAACAACCGACGCCCTAAGACAAGGAACAAGCGTCCACTCAACCCCCCAACTCTGAAGCTTGCGAAGACTTGGGCTCTATATTCGAAGATACGCTACTCAAGATCCGGGAAATTGCCCGTCGCGACCGCAGATTGGACGCGTCGGGTTTGTGCGAGGACGAACTCCGCGATTTCTGCGAGGCCGCTACTCCACACAGCGTACGGAACCCCGGTGCACATGCCGGCTTCAGACCAAGCGTCGCCGTCGGCGACGTCCCTCGTCGCGTTTACTGACATGGACCCCATTGAGGGGGTCCTAGTGCACCACGTTGTCGTTGCTCGTAGTCGTTGTAGCCGTAACTCCAACACGTGGTTCTTGTTCTTTGCCTTCGTTTCTTTCCACTTCTTCACATCTTATATGAGACGGCCCTCCGCCGTCCCATCTTCAGCAACAGGCTGGTCCTCCACACTTCCCTCATCCAACCCCTCGCTCCGGCCATACCCAAAGTCGAGGATTTCCACCTATCCACCTGTCGGCAGCCACCCTGCCAACTTTCACCGCGCCACTGAAGGCGCTCACCCACCAGGGATCGGTTCAGCCGCCCCTCGTCGTCGCACGAATAGATCGCCCCACGACAATAACGGCCGATTCGGTGACGTGAGAAATCGCGTCGCCACTTTCCGCAGTTGGCATCTAGTTCGTCAGTACAGCCTCTCCAGGTCACGTCGGACTCGCGGTGCGCGCATCCATGTCGGGAAGCTCGGTCAGCATGCAGCTCCAAGGTTTTCTCCCCTTCGGAAGCATCCTCGTCCGGAGCGAGTGTCGGGCTGCGCTCCGGTAAACACGTATCGGTAGAGTCAAACGGCCCGTTCGTTGACACGGCCAAACACGTCGCGGTGTGTGACGGAAACTCTCCAACGGGGTTTTGCTTGGAGGTGCGGACGTCGAAATACAGTTGGTGAAGCGAGCTACTCGTCTCGCGACGCGACTCGTTCTGACTGTCCTTCGGTTTGGCGCACAACCTGACGCACTGCATCTGCGCACGCGGTCCGATCTGTAGCATCCGTCGCTTAGGCTCGGCGCACTGGCGCGGCAGTTTTCCGACGGCGATTATCGCCCTTGACGCACACCGTGGATCTCGGTCGCGCGCGAGCCGAAACGAGGGCACCAAGTCCACCACGACGCGAACCGTCTTGGTGTGCTTGTCCCTGACCTTTGAGTACGCAACGCCGTCGCTCTTCACAGCGCTAGTGTCCCGGCTCACTTCTAGCGGTATCTCGTCGCGGCAGTCGGCGGGCTCGTTCGACGGGGTCGCCCCATTGTTGATAGCGCGGGCAGGCCTCAACTTGGAAACGTCCTTGACCGAAAACTGACAAGGCGTGCCGCCCGTCTCAAGACGTACGGCGTACGGGCTCACCAACGTGGCGCCTCGCGATACAGCGTCGAGCACGAGCTCTGACCCGCGGGCAGATCCTATTCCGCCGCGATCCCAGCAATACCACATCGACAAATTCACTCTAGCCCTGTTCATCGCCGCGACGTAGCTCTGGGTCCGATCGGCGTCGTCCCCGGCTTGGTCGACTACCAGCACGTTCACCTGCGCGAGTCGGCGGTTCTGAAGGATGCATATCCCTCGGCGCGTCGACTCTGTTCCGTCGCGCGACGAGCCAATCGTGGCGTCCGACACGTTCCTCGCAACCTCGAATTCCCAATCAGCCTCGACGCAAGGTGGGTTTCTGTTTATCGCGTCGTCGCACGCTGAGAGCTGTACTGACGTTGGACCCTCCACGTATTTCGACACTTCAACAGGCCTCCTGATCGGGCTCGACACGTTCCTCGTTGCAGCAGGCTCGATGCCGGCCACCTGCGCCCTAGCCACGTCGAGGCCACTGCCCATCGCCCCGCGTCTCGCTTCGGCGTGACTGCCCGTCGCGCGACATTGACCGCGTTTCGTGGCATCTGGTTTCCCGACGACTTCCTCTCGGTGGTGCAGCATCTCTGCGTACCGGGTCCGCGACGAGTTTCCTGCCGCATTGCCTTCGTGACCTCGCAGCTCGCGACCGACCAGTGCGTCGGGCATGCGCTTAAGCCTGTGGGGGTAACCGGGACTGTCGCGATATCGTATTGGCAAATTGACTTCAGCCGTGTCCGTCATCGCGACGTTGCCCCGAGTCCGATCTGGGACGTCTACATCTTGGTCGACTTCTAGCGCGTTCACCTGCGCGAGTCGGCGGCGCTGTCGAACGCGTAACCCTGGTGCTTTGACTTGGTGTCGTCGCGTAACGTGTTTCCTGTCGCGACCCATACGTCGCCCAAAAACTTGAACGCACCACCAGATCCGACGCAAGACGCGTCTTCGTTTAGCGCGCCGCGCCCCGTAAAATGCCCCGGACCATGACTCTCTGCACATTTAGCCGCTCTGGAAGGGGTCTTGGCCAAGCTCGATGGGTTCTGAGCAGCCAGCTCTTGTAGGACATCTGGAGCTCTGTCTCTGGGGTTCGTTGTGCGCGCAGAAGCCGAGCGCATCGTCACCGCGAGGACGTGTGCGGTCCCGCGCCCCAAATCCATATTATCCGGCGTCGGCGGGCCTAATTCCGGCACGTTTGCGACAGGGTGGTCCTCGTCGCAGTTTTCCTCGTCGCAGTTTTCCTCGTCGCGATTTTTCGCGTCGCGTTTCGCGTCGAGATTTTCCACGTCGAGTTTTTTCGCGTCGCAATCTCCGCGACGAGATTCGCAGGCGACTCGGTTTCTGAATCTAACGTCCGTGGTCGGATATCTTCTCGCGAGCGATCCGCTGGCTGTATGCCAACCACCTGCGCCCTTGCTGTGTTGGCGTCACCGTCCCTTGTCCCGCGTCTCGCGTCAGCGCGACTGTTCGTTGTGCAACGTGGAACTTCTGGCATCCTCGACGCGCCTGGGCTCGACGCGTTCTGCACTGCAGTAGGCTGGATGACCTCCACCTGAATCTTCGCCGAGTCGGCACCGTCCATCGTTCTGTGCATCGCGTCAGCGCAACCAACCGTCGCGGGGCGATGATCGCGTTCCCCAGGATCCGGTTCCCCGGTGACCTCTTGGCGGTGCTGTGCCTTCGCGTACCAGATCTGCGATGAGGTTTCCGCCGCGTCGCCTACCTGAGTACGCGTCCAGTCAGCGCATCGGGCCCCACGGCCCTGCCTCGACGTGTGTCTTAACAACACGGGGTTTGTAGTGCATCCCGGGTATGAAGTCAATATACCTACAGACCCCTCGTCCACCGTCTTACGGGCGGCAGGTTCTTCGACTCCACTGTGCATCCGTCGAGTGGCACCTGGTACCTCGATCAGCAACCCTTCGGGCGGCACGCCATGGCATCCGGTCTTGTCGACGGTGGATCGCGCCACTTCCCTCGACGCATCGCATACGTCGCCTCGGCCTTCATGCCTCTTGAGGCCGGATAATATCTCGAGGTTAACGATGCGAAGTCCTTCCTCCGCTGCCTGCGCTGGTTGTCCAGTCCAGCAATCGTCAGGCTCCTCGTTGACAACGTCGAAGGTCGTATTCGACTTGTTCTTCACGCTTTCGACGGCAGAATGACTCCAACGATGCAATCATCCACCTTTATCCGCAGGTCGCATACTGTCGCACTTTTGAGACTTCGCATCTGATCGTCTCCCAGTGTCGCATTCGGCCAGTCTCAGGTCGTGGCGTCTCAGCGCCCCTTCGCTCGGCTGTCGCACGGTGTCACATTCCATTCGTCTCAAGAGCGACCCTTCGCCCGGCTGTCGCACGGTGTCGCATTCCCTCCGTCTCACGCATCTCGCCCCATTGCCGCGAGCTCCCATAGAATTGCACGCCTTGCACCACCTCGCCCAACGAATCCTCGACCTGTTGTTCAGTTCCAGGCGCTTCATCTGGGCGTCCCGCATAGTCGCCTCTCCGCAACCCTTGGTCCGACCGTACGCACGTCGTCCTCACGACGGTTATTTCCGTCGTCATCTCGCGCAACCGCGTCGAGGGGCCGTACTTCGGTGACTTGTCGTCCGGCGACGCCGCCGCTTCAGACGCACACGTCCGCCCTGCTGGCAGTGAGTTTGCGACAACAACTGGGTACAATCTCGGCTCACTGCCCGTGCGATCTTCCTCCTCTTGCTCACCCTGACGCGCGTCGAATTCCAGATCCTCGTCCGTCGGCCATCCATACATGGGCCAGACGAGTTCGTCATCCCGCCAGGTTTCGTCATCGTCCCAGGTCACTTCATACGCCAGGTTCTGCCAATCTTGGTAATGTCGATTAGTCGCCATTACGAAGCGGGGCGCAGGCGGAAACACATCGGAGGGTGTCCACCAGCCCACTGTCATGCCTGCGTCGAGCGTTATTGTCTCGTCCGTGATGTTGGTCACCCGCAGGTATGCGGCCGTCGAAGTCGCGGAGGTGCGGCCGATGTGACGGAGCACGTCGTAGTGGTTGCAATCATCGCCCGATGTCTGAGTGCATCGACCTCAAGGTTCATCCGATCGTCGAAGTCGCTGCCCGAGCCGAGACGCGGCTGGGGACGTGTTGTAGAGCGCTCGCCGACGGACATCACGGCGTGATTACCAAGTGCTTGCTGGTGCATCTCCTTCGACGCGTCCCGCGTCGACATTTTCTGCGTCGAGTTTTTTCGCGTCGAGTTTCTTGGCTCTACATGAACTGCAGCGACATGGATATTCGACGCCTGAGTTGTCGTAGACTGCGTGCTCGCCTCTTCCAGCGCCTTAGGAATTGCTTCTTTCAGATCCGGCAGAACCGTGATACGCACTGGCGCGACCTCACGGGGCGTAGCGCGCGGCGGCTCGCTCAGATGGATGGAAACCTCGTCCAGTTCCGGCGAAGTCGTGGTTGAGATCGCGGCCGTGGTTTTCGGCATCCCGAAGTCCACGTCCAACAAGTCGGCGGGTTCGTCATCTACGTCGCGTCGGGGTTTGGACCTCGACGTGAAATGCACGCTCGACTCAGACTGGGACGAAGTTATCTTCTGCGTCGAGATTGGGCCCGTCCCAGGCGGAGTCACCTTGCGTTGGGTGGATCCGACCAGGACCGTCAACGGTCTCAAGACGCCGCGGATCGTACGTGTCCACAACTCGAGGTCCCAGTCATACACTCCCGTCCTCTCGGTGATGCCCAAGCTGAAGCCTGATTCGTGCAACATCTCGAAGAGTGTCCACGCGGCTCGCGTGACGTTCGTGAGCCTGTCAAAGTCCGGCATCCGGAAGGAGCCCGTGAACTTGATCGCGTTGGGCTTGATGAAACGCAGGATCGGATCGTGCTCCAACAGCCGGATCAGCTCCACTCCAGCAAGCATATACCTCATCTCCGCCGCGGTGAACTGACTCCCCGTGTCGTCGCCTCTCGCCTTGACCGGCGGTTCATCCGCTGAATCCGGCGCGCAGAGCTTCTCCGGAGACTTGCGCTTGCGCGACTCGAGCTGCTGTTGAAGTCCACGCTCGATTGGTATCGAGGTGGAGGCGAGGGCGTGGTCGTCGAAGTCTGGGCTGAGCCCGTCGAGGAACTCGGCGTGTCTTGGCCCGCCGAGGAACTCGTTGCGTCTTGTTTGACGGATCCGGCGAGAATCGTCAAGGGCTCCTGCACGACGCGAATCGCGCGCAACTAAGACTTGAGGTCCCAGTCGCACAGCCTCTCCATCTCGAAAGCTCCCAACACGAACCCCGAGTCACGCAGCATCTGGAAGAGAGTCGGCGCGGCGTGGGCGACGCTGGTGAGACTATCGAAGTCCGGCGCCACGAAGGAGCCTGTGAAGTTGCTCATCAGCATGGGCTTGAGGAAGACCAAGATTGGGTCTTGCTCTAGCAGACAGAAGAGCTCCGTGCGCGCCACGACGTACCGTACCTCCACGACGGTGTTCTGACGTCCCGTGTCCTTGCCTTGCGGCTTGGACAGCGACTCCTCCGCCGAGTCCGGCGCGCGCAGCTTCTTCTTCTTCCTCTTGGGCGACTTGCGCTTCGTGGCTGCCTTGGCGGTGGGTTGTTGTTGGTCGTCGGCCTTTGCAGGCTTCCGACCGGTAGGACCGCGACTTGCGTCGTGGCCCTTCGCGGCTCCCTCGTCGGGAGCCGCATCGGGAACGGCAAACTGTTCTTCGTAGCCCTCCTGGCCTTCGCTGGCCACGTGGCCTGTCGTGAAGGTTCCCTCAGAGCTCCACGACGGGACAGGTCTCTCACTGTGCTCTCTTGCGGTCGGCGACCTTCCAGCCGACTGCGCACCTGCCTTCGATGCCTCTTAGATCGTTAGCCCGTCATTCGAAGTAGTACTCCCGGGTCGCGGCACCATTGTGGAGTAGCGGCCTCGCAGAAATCGCGGAGTTCGTCCTCGCACAAACCCGACGCGTCCAATCTGCGGTCGCGACGGGCAATTTCCCGGATCTTGAGTAGCGTATCTTCGAATATAGAGCCCAAGTCTTCGCAAGCTTCAGAGTTGGGGGGTTGAGTGGACGCTTGTTCCTTGTCTTAGGGCGTCGGTTGTTCCTTGGGCGTGCGGACTTATCGGGCCGGCGTTTCCTCGGAGATCCCGTCGGGCGTGCGGCGTTATCGGGCCGGCGTTTCCTGGGGCTTGTTGCGTGGCGTTATCGCGCCGACGCGGCGTCTTGTGCACAGCGGTTATCAGGCCGTGCGGTCCTTCGCCTAGGCTGCGCGTTATCGAGCGCCTCCTAACCGGTATACGTTTTACGTGCCTTCGTTTCCAGCACGGGGTTTGAGGGGGGGGGGGGTGAGTGCCCGAGCCGGCGAGCGACGGGGGGCCGCGTGTTCCTTGCGGCTCTGCTTGCCGACGCTTGGTGGTTTTCAAGAACCTGGCGATCTTCCGGAGGGGGAGAGGTCTGAGTGGCTCAGAGAAATTTCGGGACTGAGTCCTTACCCTATCCTATGTCCTTGCTACTGGCAACTCCCTACTACTGCTTGCTAAGCCTACCACCCTACGCATATCCCTGTGTCTGTCGTGCTTGCACTGCCGCTCTTCAACCTGATTCGCGTAACGTAATCACGACTTGGGCTCGACGGGGTTCCTCGACGGGTTTTCTCGACGGGGTTTAGGGTTGATGACTTTGGGGGAAACGGGCGCGCTGGTCGGTCCGTCGGATGATTACGCGTCGCACTGCACCGTGTCTCACGGACCATCACCCACGCCGACGTTCCGTCGAGCTCGGCCCTGCGTCGCGCCCATCAATCCGCGTCGCGTTCATCAGCCGCGTCGAGGTTCATCACTCGCGTCCGCCGACATCCATCTCGGCGCCTTCTTCCTCCGGCGCCCGGTGTGCCCACTTCTTCGCGGGGCACTACACATCAGCTGTGTCGGCGGGACTTCGCCTTCGTCGTCGAGAAGCAAGGTCGAAGCAAAACTGACTGTGGAGGCAATGCTCTCTGTTGGGCTTGCTGGGGTTGCACTAGGGATAGCTGGTTCTCTGCTCATCAGTGGATTTTGACTGGTTCTTTGCGCAGAATCCACAAGGTCACCATCAGACGGTAAGTTTTGACTGGTCCTTTGCACCGAATCCACAAGGTCATCATCAGATGGTGGTCTATCTGACGTATCCGAAGATGCGACAGAGGAATCATCGTCAGTGTAGTTTGGGCGAACGAGTTGGCGGGTATGCATACTCACACCCGGACAGGATACTCCGGCGCGAACACAAGATGCAACAACATGGCAGCACAGCGCGTGCTTCCGACTATAGGCGCATGAGCAAGACTTGCTTCGTGTGTCTACAATCCAGCCACCAGACGGCATATTTTCCGTTTGCATCCGCCGTGAGTTCACAGATCGGATAGAGTTCGCTACCAACTTTTTCTCCACAGCTGTTAGACGTAGCGGCTTCTGTTTCACCCTGTAAAGATCAGCGGCAACAGTTCCAACAGGTGGGATCCGATACACCGAAAGGCATCCCCGTCTGTGCATGAGTCGGTACATAGCCATCAAACGTTCGGATGCGGTGGCCGCAGTGGAGAATGTGGCGTCACTGTTGAGAGAGGCGAGTCGAGCGCCATTCAAATTCTTGAGTAGCTCGCTAGGGGTTGCCTCCCCAGGGGGACACTGCAACTTCATGGTTCTGTGATATTACTCCAAAGGGTTATTCATTGCGGCGTAGCCACTAGGTGTGTAGAAAGCTTGCCAACGGGAAAAGCGATGCGAGTTTGTCTACATTTTTTTACACGGTCAGTAAGTTTGCAAACAGCTGATCCACGTTCGTATCCCCTCCATTTCGTGAGAACGCGCTCTTTGACTACAGGAAAGTCTTCCTCATTTGCGACGTGCATGTCATACAAGTCCGCAAATACAGACCTAGTGTCTTCGGCACTCACACGTTTCTCTATAGCATGTTTCCATACATTTTGCGTCACGTGAAGCCAGCACATGAGCACAGCTGTGTGCGGTAATTCCGTGATACAAGTGTTGAACTGAGCTTTGTCCGCATCCATCATGACAAAGCCAGGATCGAATCGGACGTCACACACTTCCAAACACACGCGCTATACAAACCGGATACACCACCCGATATCAATTGCACGTTTTTGCGATGTGCAAAAGTACACAATGGGGGAAAAGTGGCCAGCCCGATCCGAATATCCGAACGCGAAAACCACGTAGCCGTTGATGGCCATACTGTCCGTCTGTCGATGTGAAAGATCGTCGTGCAGTCGCCACGAATTTGAACAGCGATGTACTCTTTAATGAGGCGTAGACAGGTCATTCCGACTCTTAGCGGATACGATTTGGAGCCATCGCCAAGCTGGGAGACCACACCAGTTTCCCTGGGTGCGGAGGCCTGCTGAGAATCGCACAGAATCACCATTTCGGTGTCCGGTAGCTGCTCCAAATTGTGTTGGTCGTAGAGGTGGCCATCACATATGGTGCCATGCTGTTCTTGGGGGTTTTGCGCCGCCAATTCTTCACAAAGTCGGTAACTTGGCTCTTTTTTGGGGCCGGACCTGCTATTTCCCCATCATCTACGAGCATGCCAATAAGTGTGTAGAGCCTTGCCGCCGTAGTTTTTTCTCCAGACCCCAAACACTCTACAATATAGTCCTTCATTTGCTTGGTCAACTTGCGCTCCACAGGGGTTGGAGGGTCGTTTATGTTCATCACGTGGTTGTATTGCTGAAACACCTCGCGTGTACTTGAAGCGAGGCAGAGCTTGAACTTGTATCGACACGGACAGGGAGGTGGACGTCCTGCGCTGTCACCATGCACACGTTTTTGTTCTGCCTTGCAGCGCTTCGAGCGACACGGTACCAATTGAGACCGCATCGGATGATCCCGCCGATGTAGACTGTAGTCACGATCACTTAAATGGTTGATAGTACAGTTGACTTGATTGCTTTTATCTACTGCATGCGTCGGTAGCTCGTCGCGGAACACCGCCAGTGTGTCCGGCTCCGTTGAACGCCATTTCTGATTCCATGGCACTCTCTGACTTGGCTCTGCGTCGTCGTCCAGACCGAAATCCCACTCATCCAGCTGTAGCCGGTCATCGGAATTGTCGGTGGAGGCGTTGTCGCCTCTATTAATCTTCCTTCTACTTCACTTTTGAACTGAGAATGGCTAAATAAGCATAGGTTTCAATTATAGGCGCTGCAGCTCAGCACGTTGAAGTTAAATATCTATTTCGGTGATCATACCAGTTCTCCTGGTGGTCGTACACTTTAAGATTGGTGGTCGCACCTTTTTGTATGGGTGGTCCTGTCCATGTTTTGGGTGGTACTACACTTTTTTTGACAGACTGGCAGAGAATGTTTGGTGCCAACAACCCTCACTGCAATTCATGCCATTCTGCTCGTCGATTGGCTCTCAAATGCTGATCGCGGGTGTAAGGGAAAGCGCTCACAATCTTAGGCAGAATTAGCACTACATAAGCGTTAATCGCCCTTTATGACTCTAATTCCGCCTGAATTAACAGCTCACCCGCCAAAATACGTGAAAGGCACAATATATATCGTATCGCTTCGATGAACAACAGACACAGCCAAGGACACCAGCGTCGATAGCGCTGAACGTGAGTCAGATGATAGGACTGTTGACATGTGAGTCATGCGGAACCCTCAATCCTGTTTCTGCTATCTTTACAACTCACGGCCACGAATCGCAGTCTGTCAGCGGTAGCTCCGTGATGAACTATTGACTTCGATCAGACTGGCACCAGACTGACGGTTTTGGTTCTGATCAGCTATATTGAGTCAACACAGTTTTTAATTAGCGCGCTGTGATGCAGCAGCCCCACTTTCGAAGTCGCGGAAACCCCAACGAACATGATGGAGACACTCGGATGCTACTGGAAGACCCTCACACGTGTCTGGAACGAGCACCAGGTCGAATCTAACGGAGCTTACTCGGTCGAGCGGTTGATCCACCTGCGGGACTACAGCGAACGTGTCACCACGACGCACTGTGTGTTTGTACTGATACTAACCTCGCGGCCTCCATTGCTACTCTGCGTATTGCTCGAGAGCATACCGCTGCGCTCAACGACCGACAGCATCGAGAACAGCTTTTTGATTGGGTGCGCACATCAGTGATTACAAGTACCCTGATCTTCTGTTTCATGTGGCCTTGCCGGTTCTTCATTCCACGTCTGCCGTGGTCGACGTTATCCACCCTGATAGCAGCAACTGGTGCCGGTATTACTGTATAAGGATCATTTTATCGGTGACCCGCTATCGCTAAGAGGCATGCTGATTGGTCAGCTTGCGGCGGAAACACGAGTCCGGGTCGCCAGTGTACCAACTTTAGACCACAAACAACCTTCTTTGGGACAATGGTAACCTAAAAAAGACGCGAACAACCATAACAGCTGGAAAGTGATCGTCAACAACCACTTTTCCGGTCACTAGCAACCTACACTTTCTAACTGTACTTTCTCAAGCATCGCACCGGTACCGGTAGCCAGATTGTCAGTTCCCAAGCCTGATCTGTTGTTCTGTCTCATTGCCAGAACTGTTACCGGTACAGTATTCCAAAGCACGGCAACCATACAAAATGTTGACCGCGGCGATGACCAGCGCTAACGTGTAGGTGGCGCAGCTTAAACCCCTTGATTCACAATAACTGGCACGAGTTAATCTGAATTCCTTGATTCACAATAACTCGCGCAAGTTAATCTGAATTTCTTGATTCACAATAACTCGCGCGAGTTAATCTGAATTTATTGATTCACAATAACTCGCGCGAGTTAATTTGACGCTCAGACTTTCAAATATTCAAAATATCACAACGTTGGTGTAATCTACACGAGATTACTGTCGGCCCACACAACACAGGGATCAGTGCGGTAGGCTTTGATGAACTCTTGTTTGAGATTCGAAGTCCATCCTAGCGAACTTGCGTGTTGCATTTGCACGACCGATGTGACGATCTCTGCATCTTGAACAGGGATGTGGAGATGACCATCGGAAAGATCATGTATGGCGAGATGACCAGCGGAAGCATCAGCCATCTCCTCCCCCGAAAATTCAACAGGCGAGAGAGCTGAAGACATCATGGTCGTATTCACCTTCTGAGAGTCCCCATCATGCTGTCTTGCACGATAGCGTGATGCAAAACTGTCACACTGCGGAGTACACGTGTGAAAGCTGATCGTATTGATAGCGGGACGCACAACACTCTGCGAATCTGGAACAGTCGACCTTTCACTGTCTGGAGTCGACAGCGAAGCGTTAACTGCATGTAGATCGCACACTACTCGAAAACTCGATGTCGTTTTGTCACTGTCTGGCTCGCAATGATGGACGCTGATCGTGTTGACCAGAGGTGGAGCCAATACTGGTGATGTAAACGCATTCGGAGTCGAATTCATTGGAGGACGGGACAGTGCATCAGCTACGACATTCATCGACCCTTTCAGGTGATGAAGTGTGAAGTCGAACTGAGCAAAAAAGGTCAAGAAGCGTGCAAGCTTCGAAGAAACCTTCGGGTGGTGTAACAACCACTGACATGCACTGTTGTCGGTGTAGATGTCGAAATGACGACCATAGAGATAATGACGCCATTTTTCCAACGACAGCTTAATTGCGTAGAGTTCCTTCTCGTGGGTAGGCCAATTTTGTTCATGCACACCCAACTTCTTGGAGAGGAAAGCTAACGGATGGTCATGTCCGTTGTGCTTTTGCGAAAGCACTCCACCCACGCAATATCCTGAAGCATCGGTTGTCACGATGAACGGAAGAGAGAATTCCGGTAAAGTCAGGACTGGGGCGGATTGTAATGCTGTTTTCAGCTTGCTGAAGGCGATATCATGCTCTTCATTCCACTTCCAGGTGTGGTCCTTCTTGACCAGAGGTCCAAACGGTAAGGCGATTGTCGCGTAGTTGTAAGTTAAGCGACGGTAGTAGCCTGCGAGACCTAAAAAGCTTTGCAATTGCTTTTGGTTCATGGGAACTGGCCAATTGGCGATCACTATAGTCTTCTTGGAATCCACCGCGATGCCTTGGCTCGACACGGTGTGACCTAGGAACTGAACTTGATTTTGCCCAAAATGACACTTCGAACGATGACAGTACAGCTTTTCCCTGCGTAACACTTCGAAAAGTATACGGAGATGCTGCAGATGCTCCTTCATGTTCTTGGAAAATACACAAATACCGTCCAAATATACCACGATAAACGCGTATTTGCCCAATAGGACACGCGTCAGACGTGACCAGACACCTGGCATTCCAGCAAGACCCATTGGTGCAACACACCACTGGTAGGTCTCAGAATGAGTACGGAACGCTGTGTACTGACGACTCTTCAAGGCAACCCTCATCTGATGGTAACCTTGCGCGAGATCCAAGACTGAGAAGATGATGCATCCATACATCTTGTCAAATGTATCGTCAATTCTCGGGAGTGGAATTCTGGCGATGATCGTCTGCGAGTTGAGCCAACGATAATCAATCACCCAACGAATCGGTAACGTGGCGTTTCCCGATCGTAGCCACTCAGCTCGAGAGAATTGTTTCCCTGATTTCGGGTCCTTCTTCGGGATACCAAAGATGTTGGAGACCCAGGGTGAATCGGATAGTTCGATCCAACCTTTCTTCAAATTTTCCTCGACAAACATATCAAGGGCTTCTTGTTCTGTCTTCGAGAGCCGGAAAGGTGCGCGTGTGCTTGGCATATCATCTGGCTTCATGTTGAGCTCGAATTCCACGCGTCGATGAGGAGGCAATCCATCGGGTAAAGCGTCTGGAAAGACGTCAGCAAACTCATCTAGGAGAGGCACAATTTCTTGCGGTTCCTCCGTGACGGGTTGAGCTGGAGTAACCTTGACGCGGTAAATCTCCTCATAGTCATGGCGCTTGGCTTTGGTTTTGAACTCAGCACCAGATACTTCAACTTTGCGCAACACTGGTTTCAATCCTTGCGGTTTGAACTGCAGATGATGAGTACGCCAATCGATAATCGGCTGGTACTTGATAAACCAGGGCTTTGCGAGAATGACATCGTGCTCAGGACTCATAGTCCACTCCAGGACTTCTACGTCTCTGAATCGATAGCCATCCATCTCAATCGTGCCCTTGCCCTTGTGAACAGCACGTTTCTTCGTTGTGCTTCCGTCAAACAAGGTGACTTGAGAGATCAATGTGTCAGGAATAGTGTCCACGAATCCAGGACGAATGACATTGCAGGTGGCTCCCGTGTCTAGCATAATGGTGACACGTTTGCCCTCACACAGACCTGGCTTCCGAATCAACTCATTCGGAGCTGCTAGTGACTGGATTGTGGCAGCGTTGAGATCATTTATCTCAACAACTTCAACCGATTCTGGCTTCTCTGTGGCCAAAGTGTGAACAGCGAACTGGCATTGCGTGGTGTCAGACTGATAGCTGTTGTTCGATCCATGATTCTGTCGATTTTAAAGTTTGAAGCACTGCACAATCGTGTGACCAGGCTTCTTACAATACCGACACTTCTTCTGGTTGCCACTGTTGCGATTGTTGCTCTGAACAGATAATTGTCACGGCTTGGACTATGCACATGACCGGTGTCGATTTCCATAGGCTCAGGCTCATTGTCAGCAGGACGCACGAGTAAATTATGAGGAGTTGGAACGTCCAAAAGTCCTAGGAGGTGTCCAACGATTCTTGTGAAACGGACCAGCACGAAAGTGCGATCTGTCATACTCGAGTGCAACTGAGAGAGCCTCAGATACCGTCGTGCAACGACGATACTGAACTTCTTTCGTGGGGCTAACAAGACCTCGGATGAAGTACGTGATCTTGTCAAGCTCACTCATGTCCTTGACTTACATGATAGCAACGCGGAATCGAGAGATGTAGTCCTCTAAGCTAGAACAACGTTTTTGCTTGAGACTGTACAATCGATCTTGAAAGCGCTCCTGAAGGTCCGGAGGAACGAATTCCTTCGTGAGCTTCTGGATCAAGTCTTGGACGTCACTGATGGAATCCCTGCAAAGCATGTACCATGCAGCAGCATTTCCCCTGAAATTGGCGGTCATCAGGGCAATAATGCGCTTACTCTGATTCTCATCTTGCCAATCAATGTCCTTCGCCTCAAAGTAATGAACAACTTGGTCGAAATACAACTCAACCGAGTCGCCCATATTTCCATAGAAGCGAGGTAGGCTTATGCCCTCAACTGTGACTTCCTTGCGTTGCGAAGTCAAAACGTCGATTAGTGCTTGTTGCTTCTGCACCATTTCGACCACAGACTGGGTCAGACGGCCCGCAGACAATCCACCAGGATTCAACGAAGTCATGATAGTGTAACTTGAGCGAAAAGCTTATTAAAGTTACGCTACGAATGCAAGCTACTAGCTACTAGAACTAGAGCTACGAGAACACTGTTAACAACTACTCGAAACGCGCGCGCTTGATGCTGATGCTGCGATCAACGAAGGCACGAACTTCGGTGTCGATGCGGATGACACAGGTGGTCAAGTTGTCGACGGTCTCGTAGAGAAACAGTCCAAACTCAGTCTCGATGACACGGTCGAGGTGAGTCTCGAAAAACGGAAAGAAAACTTCACGGAGGTGATCCGTCAAGCAAGTAACCTCGTACTGCAAACGGGTAGCAGCACGGATCGTGAAAGCGCGTTGAACGGCTTGTTCGATGGTGAGAATGCGACGATGTTGGTGATCTTCTTCCCACTCACGAGCAGTACGCTTAGGCATAGACTGGAACAATACCCGAAGCTTACGCCAAAGCTTACCCGATACTCGAAAATTACGCGCAAAATTCAGGAAACGGCTAAAATTTACGCGGATTTTCTAATTCGGAATTACACGGGTGCTGAGATTTAGGGTAACTACTGATTGGGTGAGCCAAAGTGTAATTGCACTAAAACAATGCGAAAAAGTAAAAAAAAAACTTCTCAAATTACAACGCTACTTAGCGCTAATTCAAGCGTTGGCGCTTGGACTTGGAAATGGCTGTTTTCTGGCTGAAACCCTGAATAAGTAGCTCTTCCTCTTGAGCTTCTTCAAGTGCTCTTTGACGCGAGATCTCCTTAAGTTCACGGTCGAACACAGTAGTGAGCGTGTTATGGATACGCACTACTTGTAAACTTAGGATGTGGCAAGCTTCTCGATAACGTATACGCTTTGACTCGGAGCGAAAACTCTCCTCCTGAGCCTGCAGGTGGTGCGTTAAGCTTGCAAGGCGGTTGACTGAGTCTAACCCTTTAAGACGAAGTCGATCTACTGCTTGTAGACTAGGTTTTGGGTTTGGTTTACTTTTGTGGTTGTTCACCTTGGTCATTCAAGGCCAAGTGAAATAAAGGTTTCCGCAATATACTAGGCTTACGTGCATGAAGGTGTCTAGTGAAGCGAAACGCGTTAAACTAGTACAATCCTTTGGATAACTAACCGTTAGCGATAAGCGTAAGGCTAGTTTAGCAAAACTCGACTAGCGAAAAGTGTTAATGTCGATTATGCAATACTTTTACGGCTAGCAAAAAGCGTTAATGCTGCTAAGTCAGAGTGCACGTAGAGAAGCAGTTAAAGCGAAAAGCGATAACCCTAACCCGGAGGTTGTAGCAGTAGTCGAGCTGAAGCCGAAGTAGCGAGGCGAGTCGGTTGGAGCTCTTCTGACCACTTGACCGGCGAAAATTGACCGACTTGTGCTACCAGATGTGAGGCTTGAGCAGTAGGAGACGCAGAGGCCGCGAGGAAGTGTTGACCGCGATGCTGAAAGCGTTGAGGTGGTTGGATGCAAATTTGAAAGTGAGTTTATTTCGTTAAGGCCCTGTGGCCGGCCGTATGGGCAGTGCCCAAGGCGGTGCTAGAGTAAATCAATCTGATTGGTCAATCCACTTCAATTTGAAGTGAATTGACGTGCGTCATACAAACGTCAATGTAGTTGACAGAGGTAATGCACCATGTGCATGTTTCTTGCTTGTCATGAGTGAAGGTGTCTAAGCTAGACTAATGCTTACGCCCTAGCCTTGCACATGAACGGGGCGGGCCGACGACGTGCTCGTCACGTCTCGATCCTTACAGTACAGGCCAGTCTGACTCGTTCTCTCAATTGCGTTTCAGGAAGGGCAGCTATTGGTAACTCCTCATTTGAGGAAGATAATAGCCCCATAGCTGTCTTTGTTCTGACCAGCAAGGAGCTGGTTCTACGTGCCTTGCGAGAGGCTGTTGCGGGAACCCAAATATCCCAAAAGCCCTTTTGGCAACGAAATGCTTGCCGCTTCGGAAGTGATGCGAGCTAGAACGTCGTCGACCTCGAGGAGCACGACCACAGCTTCAAGGATGTCGACAAGCATTAAAGTTACGATGGCCTTCTTGGAGGTGGTGCCATTCATACACCATGACAAGAACAGAACGTGATACAGGTCTGCGTTGAATACGACGATGCAAGACCTGAGATCTGGGTGGTCGCGGATCAGGTGGGCGAACGCGTTCTTATAGAGCAATCTGATGACTGGTAGTAGTGTCATCGCGGCTATTTGCCTTGTGTCGGGGAGTTGGTTAAACACGTGAATAAATCCATGCCATGCTGACTTGCAAGGCCACCAACGTGAAGTGGTGAATAAACACGCTTCGGCCACCGCGATAGCCCAAGATGAAGGAACCCCAGATAGCCAACATACCGAGGCACATAAAGACCGTGCCAATTGCAGACTCGCAAACCAGCGTGAATGGGAGTGGGAAACCAACAGCGTGTGCGAGACCGAATGCTCCGACAGTGCTTAGGGCAATCTTATCGGGGGCCCACTATCGCCAATGAACAGCTAAATTCTCTTTAAGTTGGTTGGGTTCTCTGTGATTTTGTTTTTTTAGCTGTTAGCGATAGAAAAATGGGCAGTTATCGTTCTCGCTATTTCTAAGGGAAAAAGCTGCGACGTGTGAAACCCGCTAAAGCAGCCGTTTTTAGCGGGGTGCCACACGTCGCATATGATTCTAAATTGGCTCTGACTAACCATTTTCAGCATTCTGATTGGCTTCTAGCTAAAAATGGTGGCGGCTTCTATGAAAGAGACAGGCGCCTTCGATGAGTGCAGACTGCGCAGCGGACGCGCACAAAGCGATAGAGGGCCTCGATAAGAACGACGGCTCGCTAGAAAGGTGACATGTGTTTCCGGAGTAAAGGACGATAACAACCTCAGATTTGTACAACAGTAACCACACCAAACGGGCACGAGCAACCATAGCACGATCGACGATTGGGAAATGGACAGGTCGGTAGCTACATGCAGAGCGACTCGCTCTGGGAAATGGACTGGTCAAAAGCTAGAGTGACTCGCTCTGAGCGAGACAACAATATTATTGAGAGCATGCGCGCGCAGGTACATGTAACACCTGCGCAATAAATGTAATTAGGATGCCACGGTACTTGTATTTATAGGATTTTACTCTTCTTATTTGCTACGTTGGCCGCGCGGATAATACGCTGATGTAGATGCGCACGGTAGTTCTCGACATTGAATTTGTTGGAGCACAACTTATCCATTGATCCACGTAGCGTATGCGGGCGATCTTTCATAATCGCTGCGGATATCTTTTCGACGAAGAAGAGCAGATAAATTCCACAATCAACAGAGTTTTGCTGCTGAGGCTTGGTAGGGCAGGCGTGAAAACTCCATTTAACCGAACCCCACCGAAGCTGTTTCTGGGACCCGCTCTTTCGCCAACCACCACTGCATCAAGGAAAAGACGTTTGCCGTGTCGTGCGCTTCTGTAGCAGAATTAACGTGATACAGCCGAATGACGCCCCCCTGCAGGGGATTCTCAACCACAAGAAAGCTCCAGTGACTATTACCGTTGACTGGAAGAATAACAAACCGGTACGATACCCAGTCAAATTTCCCTATGTGACCAGCGAGGCGCTCGTCCCTTGCAGCTTTCTCCTTCGTTCTTTTCACGGCTTGCATCGTCGGAAAAAGAAGTTCCGCGGCAAAAAATTAAGCCATTCTCCCGAGGCATGAAACCATGCACAAAATAATCAACGGCGGACTCTGTCAAATTCTGATGCGGCATTAGGCTGTCCAGATCCTCACGATAGATCCAGCTCGTATCATCACCACGCGTCCACTCCAATATTGGCTTCTGCTCCCGCGACCTGGTAGAAGACTGCCTCCGAGGCAAATAAGTCTTCTTAGCAACTGTAGGCACCTTATACTCGCTCTCTTCGGACTCGTTACAATCCATACTCTCGCTACTGCTATCGCTTTCATCCGATCCAGCGCTATCGTAGCTGTCTTCATCGCTGTCTTCATCTCCACAGTACAGCGCCGTCACCGGGGGTTACACCATTATCTTGCTCGTGCTCACTGTCCTCACCAGGGGTTACGCCACCATCACGAGGGATTACCCATGTTACTTGGGACTCTGGAATATCAAAATCCGAGTTGAACTCTTCCAGGCTCCGGCAATAAAACATCACATCGTCAAACGTCCAGTTGTCCTCCATAAGCTCATCAAGGTATTCGATTACTCTCCATTCGTACGGCTTCATCTTGTGTTTTCGTCCTCCGCCTTCGTTGCGCTTGCGATCTGAGCCAACCTATTTGTCACAAACATCCCAGTAGCGCTTCACCCAGCCTCTCAAAGTCGATTCCTTGACCTCAAGCTCGACAGCGGCTTCTTCTAGAGTCCAATCTGGGATATCTACTTTCCAGCGCCTAAGAAGCGCAAGCTTCTCCTTCTCAGTGCGATTCACACACACCCGCCTCTTCATTCGGAAACGGGGGAAAGGGAGGGAAATTCTCGAATGATAGTCAGCCGTATATGGCCAATCATTTTAGGTATCAGATTTAATCAGATCAAGAGTAAATATCAAATTAACTCGCGCGAGTTATTCTAAATCCAGCATTTCAGATTAACTCGCGCGAATTATTCCGAATCCAGCACTTTGAGGTTAGTATGAAGTACGTCGGGGTTGTGGTGTGGTAATACCACTAAAATTCTCTTCTACCAAAAGGTATTAGAGACGCTAACCCGCAAAGGTAAGCGCTTATTGGATCAAAACCTGAAGACCAGGAACGATCCCTTACACCGGGTCGGTTGCAAGTGCCTCTGTGCACCTTAGGTTGTCTTCGGTCAACCCAAAAACCTGTACCGCTAGCCACGAGCTACGGCTAGGATACTATGTAGCGCTTTCGCGCAACCCCACTGCAGTCCCTCAGAAAGGAAGGGTACCGGCGTGTTAGGCCTTATACAGGGGGACCAAGGTAAAACCTCGGTAGGTAGACTAATACACTCAAGGACACTCTAATCCCACAAATATATACTGAACGATACCGTAACACCGTTCCTGCCTCTCCGGCCACGCCAACTCTTGGCGCTGCCAAGGAAACTCTCGGTCAATGCACGATAAGCTCCCCGACAGGCATCCACACGCAGCCGAGCGTGTCCAGGCACTACAATAAGCTAGCTACACTTACCGAAGTCGGACTTGACCCTTGTTGGCTTTGGGGGAAGACTGTCTTTTTATTACTGAGTTTTCTGAGGCCCTCGGGGCCTCGTTCTGGTCATCCTATGATGAGTCCTATGTCCCTATACAAATATCTAGTGTGAACGATCGCAATAAGGCGATTCCGGACACATCAAATGGCGGCCGCGGCTACACTAATAAGTGCGGCCGAAGTACGTAACTGAATGCATCTGTACCTAAACGTGGGTACCATGAAGCCTCGTTCGGGGTTCTATTAGAACCCGACGAGGCTTCGGCCACTGTCTGTCACTCTACCGAGGATAATGTCATCATCTAATCAGAAGCAGCCATCTCCGTCTCTCGCTTGACCTCGCCTTGATTGCCCCTTGATTGAACTTGATTGTCGGGCTGGCGGGTCAACAGCGTTGGAAACTGCCACTTTCCAATACCACAACTGCCCACGCCTCGACGCGAGCCTCCCACGCTGGTGAGCGTCTAGGCGTCCTCAGTTCTTCCACGCCATGGCTCCTCCGTCGCGTGCATTCGCCGACGCGGCTGCCGCTGCTCTTCGGGCTCTCCAGTGCTCCGGACCGGTACGTTCGTCGCTCCTGCTGATCCTCACTGTCATTCGGATCCTCGTTGTTGACTCCATCTCTTTCTTGATCATCTCAGGGAGCTGTTGATGTCGCCACCGACACTTCGGGTCGTCGTCCGGCGCGCCAGGCTCGTTCGGCGGGTGCCCCCGCCCCTATCGCCGCTGGTGCTGTGCCTCCAGCCCCGGCCGCGCCTGCAGGTGACCCTACGCTCATTCCTGCCGCCTCCGGGACCTCGGTCGACCCTCCACCGGCTCCTCCCAGTAGTCCTGAGTCTGCTGCTGGGGCGACCGAGACTCCCTCGCCGGCAGTTCCCATTGAAGAGGCCCCCGACTCGCCGCCGACACCGCCGCCAAGCGCCAGCGCTCCACCGTCGCCAACTCCCGCGCCTTCGGTCACGTTGGCAACTCGCGGGGCGTCGGTGGGGGGCGAGGCAGCTGTAGGAGGTCGCACCGGAGCTGGTGCTGGCCCGGCCGAGGTTCCTCCGACAGCGGTTGTCTTGGGCGAGCGGCAGATGCTGGAACTCGCTCGTCTCGTCGTGGGTGCGGTGAGGTGCTGGCGGCTGCCGTTGCTTTTCCGCGTCTCCCTCTTGCAGAGGCAGATGAACTGGTGGCCCTCCGCCGCGAGAACGACCGGCTGCAGGCAGAGCTCTCCGACACCAAAGATAAACTCGCTGAAGAGATGAACCTTCGGACCAAGTCGGACTACTTCCTCGTCTCGGCCAACTCCGAGTGCGACCAAGCTCTGGACCTCGTCCAGGACATGCGCGTCCAGCTCAGCATCGCCAGCGAACGCGGCCATCACTCACCACGCTGATGTCACTCAGTCGTTGGAGAAGCGGACGCTCGTTGTGAGGGCGATTCGGCCGCTGCTGTACGTCGGAACATCCAGCTCCACGAGCGTATAAGCGCAAGCCTCGTTACCTACAACACTCAGTTGGAGAGGCTTCGCAAGCAGTTGTCCGACCGCGACCGAGCAAACGTCATCCCCGCACGCATTCAAGCGTTGACGGACGAGAACAACAGCTTGCGGCGAGCGAATTCTATCCTTCGTCGGCACTCGGCAGCACACGGACTCGACGTCGACACCTTGGTCCTGGCCTCAGCCGGCATCTCCGCTGCAGAGATTGATTGGAATCTTCTCGGGCTGTCCCCACCGACGGTCCCTGTCGAGAGTCCACGCCGTGACGAATCCTCGTCAGAGGAAGGAGAGGAGTCCAAGACGACCGACGTGCCGATGGCTAAGTCCACCGAGGCTACGGCCGCTCCCGCTGCTTTGGTGGGCGCTTCTGCTGGTTCCCCGGTCTCCACTGAGTCGTCATCGCGCAAGCGGGGTCGGCAAACCGAGTCTGCTTCCGTCGGGAATACGGCATCCCAGCCTCCTCCTCACAAACGCTTCGGCAGACCGTCAGTCGCCCTGAGGGCCAGGGATGCAGCGGCCGCCGCGCCATCTAGTCCTCGTTCGGCATCAGGAGAGATTTTCCCGCCTCCTCAGTCGATGGTGCGTCCTCCAACGACGGCTCGCTCAAGCTGGTTGGAGTCTCAGCCTCTCCCGTACGAACACTCAGACGTCCCCTTGTATCCTCGGCTGGCCAGTCGCGCCTCGCCTCCCTCGCCAGCCCCAGCCCAGCAGCAGGAATCATCTGACGTGGAGTTTGGAGGGGGTATGAGTCCTAGCGACACATCACAAGATGACCTTGAGCCCGGCGAGATTCCGGAGGTGTCGACCGCCAGTCTCGTCTGGTATAGCCGGCGTTGGCCGTGCCCCTCGAGAATCGGCTGCTGGGGTCACCGAGGGCTCTGACGGCCCGCCAGACCGTTCACCTAACGGTGAGTCGCCTCATGAGTCCGAGACTTCCGAGGACCGCGCAGCGTTGTTCCTGGAGATGTTCGGCCCCGACGAAAGAGAGGAAACCTCGGTGGCGCAACCTGTCGCTCCTTCGGAGGCTCCTTCTCCTCTGGCTGCCGCGACCGGGGTTCCTGTAGCTTCATAAGCGGTCACCGTGCCACTCCCGAGTCGACTCCACACTCGGTCGGCCTCTGTTCACGCCCGGGCGATGGTAACAGCAACGGTGACAGCTTCACCGAGGCCCCAGCCGTGGTTGACGCTTCCGACGTAGCTCCTGGATCACGTAAGCTCAGTGGTCTTGCTACCTTGTTCTTGGAGCCGGGTTTCACGGCACCCGGGGCGTCGGAATGCTGGCATCTCATCCAAAACGCCAGTGTCCCCCTCGTCTTCGAGGACGACTTGGTCGCCCCCAGTTCAGTGGATGGAATCGTGGAGTTTGGCTTGTGGACGGATCCTGCTCACCCCTTCCAAGTGTTGCGCCAGCTTTTCCCAGACGAGCCTTGTTTGATCGATACGACGGGTTTTCCATCCTCGATGGCTATATCCCGTCGTGCAACTGGTCGGGCTCTTCTCGTTCGCCTATGGCGGCAGTTCCAGGGCTACTCCTACCACTCCACCGAGAGGGGCGACCTCGGTTTCGCCTTGTGGGAGCGTCGCCACTGGATTAGGGGTAAAACTGTCAAGGCGTATATCGATAACCTCGCCAGCACCCTCGGTCAGCGCAACGTGCAAGTCCTAGCGCTTCGACAAGCGTGGTCCAAGTACCACCGAGAGCGCAGTTATCGTGCAGATCGGTTGCGAGACCAGATGCACCACAAGGTGTGGAATGGGGCCATTACGTACGACGGACAACCTCCACAGCACCGCACCGAGGTTTTGCTGGAGCCGTCGTACCTGCAATACTCGTTCGAGGTGATGGAGTGGGTCCCCACTACCGACGACTGGGCCTCCGAGGTGGCGGACGTGGATGCCCGCGAGCCGTGGCGTAACTGTTGGTTCCAAGCGCCGGCAGACCACCCCTACAACACGGCTTTCGCCCCTTGCAACGACGTCCCGTTGTTTGTCCCCAACGGATCGACTCGGGAAACCGTGGCGTCGTCGGTCGTGGTCGAATCTTCTCTGCGGACTTCGATGGTGGTCGCTCCATGGGTGGCCGAGTTCGCAAACGCTCGTCGTTCTCGCTCTCCAAGCCCCGATGAGGAGACGAAGGAGTCGGGTGAAGCTTCTTCCGCCGCCGGGTCAAGTCTGGGCATGTTGGCTCAGGCTGTGATGGAGATTTAGCCTCGTTAGGCCCCGCTCCAGCTGCACCGTTTCGTTCACGTTCTTTTCCAATGTCGACCGAGGTCCGTGGTGCTTTAGGCGACACTGCATGTGCTATCCCAATCCAAAATAACGTCATGTTGTTCGTCCATTTCATAATCTTTTCTCGCGTCAACGCACATCGCATTCAATACTCGGTCGCGGTTCCCAGAGCTTCTTCTCTGCCCTCGGCCGCTGTGGCTGCCTCAAACGAGGCTTGGTTCGTAGCTGCGGCAGCCGGGCTTCGCCTTGTCTCCCTGCAAGAAGGTCGGGTTTATGCTCGTTGAAGACCGGACTTGATTTGCGGGAGACCGGGCGTACTTACGCTAGCTCCGTTGCGGGTATGTTTTCGCATGACAGCCCAATTTTGACAACTGTACACCCGGTCTGCTGCGGGTATCCGGTGTCGACAGCTTGCATACCCATTTCACCATCAACTCCATACTCAACCACGAAGTCGAGTGCACTTGTTCGTGCTACTTCCATGGCAATCACTGGGTCCGAAGCCTCGGTCGCCCTCCCATTTGCTTCATCATCACTTGTTTCGTCTGTTGAGGGTTTGACCGAGGCTTGCTTGCGTCTTCCGTTGTTCCTGGCTCCATTCCGATATCTCCATTCCATCTTGACTCGTTCACTTAACACGTAACATGCAGATTCCAGTAACATTCTTCGTCTGTCACTGCGAGCTGGATAGCCCTCGCAGGCAGTTCAATCATCATCTCCAGTAGCCTCGTTCGTCTGACATCGCGGGCTGGATTGCCCCCGCGAGCAGTTCAATCCTCGTTGGGGCGCAGAATTACTCCTCGTCGGCCACTTGGACCATTTGCAAACGTCGGTCTCTTCGCTTCCGGCGTAGGTAATCGTACAGGAGGTCACCGCACGAGAGATTGGACGCTGGTTCCCATGTCGGCTCGTCATAGCCGACCCACTTCACCTTGAACTTTCGGACGGCCCGGTGAGTGCTCGTTGACAACGGTGTCCGGTCATCGAGGATAGCCTCGACTTCGTACTCGCCGTCCAGGCGGTCCGGCTCAAAACTGTCTTCAGGCAGTAATTCCTCGTCGAAGTCAAGACGAGTGTCTTCGGTGACCTCACGAGCCAAACGAACCCTCGGTCGGCCTTCGAACTCATCCACTGACTTGAGTCGTGAAACATGCACCACCTGGTAGAACCGGTATCCACTTCGGTCGGGTAATTCCAACTCATACGCAAATTCGTCGACCTTCTTCTTCACGCGGAACGATCCGTGCCACCGATGGGCTACAGTCCTGGTCGAACCCGCTCCATGTACATCCACACTCTGCTCCCGGGCTGCAAAGAAAACCTCGTTCTCGTCACTGCAGCTCTACTATGGTCAGGGTAACTCGGTGCCCGGTCGACCGAGGTTCTATTCTCGTTGACGCCTGCCATAGCTTCCTTCTCCTTCCTGCCAAGCGACGCATTGTGCTCTTCAGCTGTCCGAGCCTTTTCCGCGGCTTGGTTCTCCTTGGCCATCCTCAGGGCGATTTCCTGCTGTCGGTTGACCTCTCGGCGCCATCCTAGCGCGTCAGTTTGGCTACTGAAGCCTCGTTTGGGTGACGAGGACATTGCCTTGAGCGTCGACTGTGCATCCCACCCATGAACGAGGTAAAACGGAGTTTCCTTCCTCGTCGTATCACGGGAGTTATTGATGGTGAAGATCCGTCTTTCGGCGATCTCGTCCCAATCCTGCTGTAGTGGGTCTTCAGCGTATACGCGGACTGACTGCATGATAGTCTTCACCGATCTCTCCTGCTGGCCGTTGGCCTGCGGGCGGTAGCTCAGGGTCGCGTTCGACCGAGACTGCATCATTTCCGCGAAGGCTTGGAAGATCTCGCTCATAAATCGAGGATCTCGGTCACGACGGATCAAGGACGGTGCTCCAAAACGTCGGTAGACACACTCCTCAAAAGCTTGCGCAACGAGTAAGGCGGTAGCGTCAGACATGGCTTTGCCCATCACGAATCCCGTGAACGAGCATTGGAATAACAGGAGAGCCGTGTTGCCACGGCGACTCTTCGGTAGCGGTATCACGAAGTCCATAGAGACTAGTTGGAAGGGTCTCTCGGCTAGGATGTTCCCTGGTGAGTACCCGCGGAACTGAGGTCGGCTCTTACTTGAACTGCAGTCAGGGCACGACTTAACGTGTTTCTCCACATCGGCATACTGGCCGATCCAGTTATAGTCTCTCGCCGCTCGATGTAGCGTACGGGTAATACCTTGATGACCGCCTTCGAGTGAGTCATGACAGCATTGCAGGACTTCTTCGATCATCGTTGTGGGCACCACGAGTCTCATCTTCAACTCGGCTTGCTCGTCGTCACTTGAACGACGGCTCGTTCTTGTGTAATATAGCACATCGTCCTCGCTCAACACAAATTGGTCAGCCATTTCCCATGCATCTCGTGCTGCTCTGTATCCAATCTTCGCATCATCTCCCCGGAGCACTGCCTTCAGATTCGACCACCGTAACTCTTCATCTTGAGCGGAGGCGATTCTCCTTCGGCGTTCTTCCTGTACTACCAGCGGGTCAATGTCTTCTGCGTTCGGTGGGGCTGGTGACGTCTCGGCACGCAGCGGTGAAGCTTCTGCTTCATTCTGAGACTCGTTCGGCACACCATTGGCTTCTACTCGGTGAGATGCGTCTCCCTGATCGGTGACCGAGACTTCATCTGCAAACCGGACGTGTTTCTCCTTTGCTCTTGTTTGACGTCTGGTCACCACAGCTACTTGTCCGGGTTCAGTCTCGTTCTGCCGTCTGCGCTCGGTTTCTCTTCGCTCAAAATCGAAAAAATTTTTGCTACGAGGTTTGGCAGAAGCTACCACGGCCCATACTGTGTTGGCCGATGGTATGTCCTCGACGACGCAACCGTCAGCAGCCTCGTAGATGACTTCAGCGATACGGTTCAGCTTCATCAGCGCTAATACTCGGTCGTCCGACGATACCACCGTAGACTCCTTGCACTCGAGAGTCTCGCTTGCCAGAGAGTCGGCCGCAGCGTTAAACTCTCTCACCACATGCAGGTACTTCACTGACCGAAGCTTGGCCGTGAGTTCTTGGTGGTGGCTGACTTGTTGCAGCAATGACTCCTTCCGACAGGCTATCACCCCTAGGGCTTGCTGGATCGCGAGCCTCGAGTCGCCAACGACAACTAGATCGTCGGCTCCATGCTGTAATGCAGCAGAGACGCCGTTGTTCATCCCGGTGTACTCAGCGAGGTTGACCGTGGTGTTCTCGAGGTAAGCGCTCGCAGCAAGCACTACTGTCCACTCTGGTAGCTTCCATAGTATCCACGAGCAACTGCCGTATCCACCGTTCTTCTCGGTCTTCGCAGACCCGTCAAACGACATAACGAAGCCTCGGTAGGACCGCGGTAGGCGTGCGTAGAGCAGATGCGGGTCCAAACGAGCAGTTGGTGGCCCTCGTGTCCGGGGTGTGACCAACGCCAGTGACTTATCCAAGTCAACGAAGTTCGTCAAGCCGGCTTGAAGTAGCTGTGCAAACGAACAGTCGGTTTCTTTGACTCGTTCGACCAACAGGTGCCACGGCGACAGCAAGACGGCGAACTGGGTAGCTCGACCGAACAATGTCTTGGACTTGTGGACCCAGTCGAGTGTCGAAAACCGAGTGTAGACCCGGCTTCGCTGTCCAACGAGTTGAGTATAACACACCTTCAGTATCAGCAGAAGCGCGAGGACCTCTTTCTCGGCCGGGTGATAATTCATCTCAGCATCCTTCAAAACACGTCCGCAGAAGCGAACGGGGTGTAGTTTGCCCTCGTGCTCTTGCATCAACGTGGAACTTAGAGCCCACTCGTTGGCGAACAACATGACATGCACTTCCTTCTTCAGGTCGAAGTGTCGTAGTATCGGTGCTGACGAAACCTTCTGTTGGAGTATCGCGAAGCTGGCTTGGCCGCGGTGAAGTCACCCCCGGGCTGGAAATCCTCGTCCTTAAGCTGGTACAGCGCTGCTCCATAGACCGCGAAGTCTTGGATGAAGCGACTGTAATAGTTGAGTGCCCCAAGGAAGGACTGCATTCCTTTCCTCGTTGACGGGAACGGAAGCTCGGCCACCCCAGCCAGCTTCTTAGCATCCGGTCGGATACCTTCTGCCGAGACTTCGTGGGACAGGAAGTCTACCTTGGACTGCACAAAAATGCTCTTCGTGAAGCTGATACTAATACGGCACTCTTCAAACCGTGCCAGCAATCGGTCTAGCGTCGCCAAGCACGACTCGAAAGTCTCGGTACCGAAACAGATATCATCCACGAATGACCGGTGACTGAATACTGGTGTCGACGAGGAGTCATCGGGCTCCCCGTTGGCGAACATGTCGGCGATAGGGCTGTTGACCAGTTCGGCTATAGCTCCCTTACCAAGCGAGTTGTCTCGGTCGGCCTCGAACTTGGTCCGGAATGGCTTTGCCGTGCCAGTCGAAGCCTCGTTCGCCCCAGCATGAGCTTCCTTGTCATGTTCTTCAGCTAGACGCATGCGCTCCGAGAATTTAAACCATCCTCCCGTCGGTTGGATGAAGCCCCAGAGCGCGTTGTCAATCATGCGTTGACAGATCATCGGTGCGTTCTTCAGGCCGAAAGGCATACGCAACCATTCGAAGTGCCCCAGTGCGCAGACGAAAGCAGAGATCTTCCGAGCTCGTTCGGTCATCATAATGGCCCAGAAGCCGCTAGCGGCGTCAAGCGAGCAAAACCACAAGTACGCCTCCATGTCCGTCAGCAAGTCATCCACCAGGGGCATGGCATACTCCATAATCTCGGTGATCGCATTAACGAGTTTGTAGTTGATACACAGGCGGATATCCACCCCATTCTTCTTCAGGACAATGACGATTGGCGACGCCCATGGGCTGTCCGAGAAGGAGATAAGCCCGGCCTTCAGCAGACCCTTCAGCAATTCGTACAGCTTACCGAGGAAGCGAAGCGGGGTCCGCCGAGCCTTCTGCTT